CAGTATCCAATGCGTGCCGAGCCAAGAAAGGGCCGCGGCCGATGTACGGGGGCGGAGACAACGGCAGATCGGGGTGGAGGAGGCACTCGCTCGTCGGAACTTCGACGAGAGCGCCACGGTCACCAGAAGTACTCCAGCCTACCATACGCGTCTGTCAGCTTGGTCCTGCGGCTTCGATCGTGTTTCCTACCGTCGATCCCGTCGTCCATGAACTCGTGGCCGGACCTGCACGCGCGTTAGTGATGCGACGTCGTGATCTGGACTGTCGAGTGGCTGCCTTGTACCCGGCTTACCTGGAAGCAAACAGAGCGATGCTATGACGTGTACGACGCCCTGACAAGTGACCAACCAGCCGAAGAACGAATGAGCCCACAGCCACTGCTCCCGACACTGCCTGATGGTTCTCGGGAGGATACCGTTGCCCGGGATGACAAGCAAACAGAGCGGCAGCATGTTCATGAAGCACAGCCGACCAGCTTGGGACGCCATGGACCGCGCCGATATGGCTTCATCGCTCCAAGGAATCACGGTCACGAGCACATTCTCGGCCGCGATGAAGAAGGCGATGCTACATCGTAGCGCTCTCGGCGGGTTGAATCCGTTGATATCTGTGGCGTCTCTCAACAGAAGAGTTTCGATGCGCCGACTGATGCATCGTAGCTTCGAGCTACCGAGGCGTTGCACTAGACGCCTGTCGAGGACAATTGCTTCTTCCAAGAAATGCATGAAGGCGTACGAACGGGACGCGAATAACCATACAACAACGTCGAAAAGTAGCACCAAAGAGTACACTGCTTCAGTTTCCATATGGTCCGGGTCAAAAGCCAGCCGAACGAGCCCCTTAAATACCGAGTGCCGTTCTGGAAGCGGTGCAAAGCGGCCACTGCATTGGCGGATATGCCGACGACTACGCCGGAGTATCGGCGACATGACCAAGGTATCGAGCGATGAGGTGGCCTGTTTTCAGTTTGAGTCATATGCTGCACGACGTGTAGTCAACCCACGATCAACGTAATCCCCTCGGATCCAATGATCGTCTGCGTACGTCTCCACGTACTAGCTAGGAATGACCCGAGACCAGGACAGAAATACTGTCATGCAGCAAGGTAGACCTCTCATCGAATGGCGTCACTCACTTGACGTTGACGCAATATGAGACTGCCTCACTTGAGGCAAGATACACGGGTGGACGGCATGTCCTGACGAAAGGCGCCTTCAGTCGTCGTGCTGGTCGTATGGAAAGACGACCGGCCGAGTGAAGGGGCCAGACGAGACGCGCGATACATCGGCAGACCTAGGTCCTGCTGGATGCACAGGCTGACCCGTCATGGTGTCACTCATACAGACGACCCGACCGATACTACCCGAACGCTGGACAGAGACGATGCGGGACGAGATCGTGACGGGGTGGTGCTAGAAGTTTGGTCATACCAGCCTTCTAAGCAACCCATCGTAGAGAGATCTTGGTAATCCGACGGCGTCGATAGCAGTAAACGGTCGCTATAGAGCGTAGGCGGTTCGAAAAGTCTGGGTATGAAGGCGAAGACATCATAGACCGATCAGTCTGACCGCGCTGGTCCTCAAACGCACATCTGCTTTCCCTCCCGCGTTTCAACACGCCGCACACTTGGACTACCTATCTTCGCGATACGCCATCCGCTCGGGTCATCTAAGGAGAGAGCAGCTTGCGAGCTGTGGGCCGAGGGCATTTTGGCATAGAACAAACGACTCATAGCACGAGACAGAGAGGTGAGGTTACGCATCGCGCACGGTCGTAACAACGCCGAGGACCTATTGTATCTTGGACGGCAGCCAAACCTCCCGGCGCGGGCTACTTCTCGTCCTTGACATCGCGCCGACCACCGGGAACACCCGGCAACACAGACACCAATAGCAGGCTTCTGCGCCCCGCCGGCGGCCGGCGACCGGGGAGCTGGCCGTCGAGCTCGGCGTCCACCGCGTCGTGCGTCCGTACCTCGGCAGGACGGCGGCCCTCCGAGTCGGCATAGCTGCTTAGGAGCGAAGGCGATTCGTCGTGGCCACGACTGCTTCCTCCTCTGCCCGACAGAGTGTCCGTGCCGTCCCCGAGTGAGTCTTCGTCGTTCCATGCTCGTGCGGACCGATGCCACGTCCCGCCCGCCCGGGGGACGCCGGAGACGGTTCACGCCCCGCGTCGGGACGGGACGGAGAGGAGCATCAGCGCCAGCCTCGCCGGTTCGTGTCTGCCCCCCCGACCCCAAGGCCTCGCGCGTGCGC